CCCCTCCCCTCCCCCGCCGCCTTCTCGTTTCTCATCCATCACAGCTTTTTAAAAATAATATAATTTTAGAAAATGATTATGAATCTTTCAACCTCAACGATATTCACAAGTCTTTCATCTCCACCGTTCAGGGATACAATAATATGTTGAAACGATGTTATTTTAATGTTTGCCATTATAGCTGATTACTTTCTTTCGGTTCAATGGCCCACCATTGGGTATAAACGTGTCGCTCTGTTTTTCCTTTGTCTGTTGAATTTGAGTCAGTTTGAGCACGTTTTGTAATAGAGAAAGTTGAGAAGGCAGTAGTAATGTTTCAAGTCACAATTACGGTCATTTCGTTGGCTTTTAAGAACTTTCTAAATTTAAAAAAAAGATGATTATCTTGCACTATCTTCTCAAGTTAGCGCCCATAATGTAGCTCTCTCTCTCTCTCACTCTCTCCTCTCTCTCTCTCTCTCTCTCTCTCTCTCTCTCTCTCTCTCTCTCTCTCTCTCTCTCTCTGTCTGTCTATCCCTCCTCTCTGTCTGTCTCTCCACATCTCTCTTTTTCTTTCTTTCTCTCTCTATCTCTCTCTCTCTCTCTTTGTCATCTTTTTTGGTTATTGCGCTTGTCTATCTATTCACAGCTTTTGTCGCCTCATGCAAAACGCTTTCGGCATTGGCATTTCCGTATTGCTGTTGTAAGCCTCGAATATATTATCATTACTTGACACTGACGACTTATATATATATATTTGTATTGTACACCTCGCTATATTATAATTTGATATAATAATCCGGTTGCAAGCCTCGTTATATTTGACATATATATTTGACCTATTTTGCTGTGGTATTCCCGCATGCTCTTCTACTGTTTCTTCTCTCCACAAGCTTCCTGTGTTTGCTGTGGTGACGTAGCGACTTTACCAGTTATCTGGACGTTTTCATATACCTACTCATCGCTTGCTGTTGTTGTCGTCAGATTTTGAGATGAATCTTTGCACTGCTACAAGACAATTCACGGTTAACCCATTCCGTACGCCCTGGGGTCAAGTTGTAATCCTGGGGTTGTATTCTTCCCATCTTAGAATACTTCTAGTACGAAAATCTCTTTGAAACTTTCAGTATTTCTCAAAAAATCATTTTGACTGACTTCTATGCAAAGCGTACGGATCGGATAAAATAGTAAATTCCCTCTACTGTTTGGAAAGGGGAAATCTAACAACAATAATCAACCAACAGTAGAACAAATGTACATGTACAATTATGAGTCAGCAAGCGTTCAAAATTGATACCCTCACAATTTTCATTTTGTGACTATACCCATCCCCCCCTCCCCTCCCCGTGCTCTTAATTTCATATGGCGCTTACTTTAAAGCAAATTTCAGTTATCAAAACCAAAGGAAGTACATTGAAAATCTGTTGTATAAATTATCACAAGCTTCCTAATCATTTTTGTTGTTACAGTTTAAAATTTTTTTAAATTCAAGTCATGACTATGAAACAGCGAATATATATTATTATGGTATTATCCGTGGTCTGTCTACTACTACTGCATTTTCTGCAGGCTTTGATCTTCTTCATGTAATTTATTGTTAATGTATGAATGATGTAGGCTACCTGGACGCACGTTTGAAATGTTTGTTGTATCTTTTTTAAACATTATTCAAGATGTGTTAATTTCCTATTCATGTACATTGTATTTCATTTTCCAGTTATCCAGATTATATTATTTTGTGGGGGAAGTTTTTTTTGGGTTATCTTGAGAGGAAGAATCACTTTTGCTCAAACATTTGTGATGGGCTGTTACAGTGATATTATGTTCCATTTATACATTGCCATAAGGGAGGGGAGGAGGGGAGGAGAGGGAGAGAGAGAGAGAGGGGGGGGGAAGAAAGAGAGAGAGAGAGAGAGACAGAGAGACAGAGACAGACAGACAGACAGACAGACAGACAGACAGACAGACAGACAGACAGACAGAGAAAAGAGAGAGACAGAAAGAGAGACAGACAGAGAAAAGAGAGAGACAGAGAAGATATCAATAATATTTACTCTACTTCATTTATCATTTACTCCCCCCTTTCCTAACCTTATACCCTATTTTATTGTTTCATAAAAATCAACCTGTTTATACACTTGTTTGACTTCCTGTACTTCCAAGACCAAAACGAAAGATAAAAATTATGTTTTGTTGGTTCACCCACCTCCTCCCCTCTTCCCCTTGTTTTACACTTGCCCTACCTCTTTTCATATACACACACAGACTCTCTCTCTCTCTCTCTCTCTCTCTCTCTCTCTCTCTCTCTCTCTCTCTCTGTGTGTGTGTGTGCGTGTGTGTCTGTCTCTTTCTCTCTCTCTTTCTCTTTCTCTCTCTCTCTCTTTTGACCCTCCCCCCTTACACACACACACACACACACACACACACACACACACACACACACACACACACGCACACACACAGATTCGTGATCCCAATGACGATATACGATGTACTTTCAACAGTGCTAGTATTCTAATATTCACCCCCCCCCCCCCTCTCTCTCTCTCCCTCTCTCTTCGGCAATCTCGGCAATCTCCTGCACAGACGACATTCTCCGAGACGTGATGAGGCGGTCCCGACAGCGGCGCGGCGCCGCAGTGACCAATGAGCTGTCAGACATAGACAAGGTAGCCCCGCCCAACCCCAGACGAGTGGCCGTGCCGTACCCGGAACTAGACATACAGGACGGCCTACAGGGGTTGCTAGGCAACACAAACCGAAGTAACAGCCTCGTTTCCAATATATCCGACTTGCTCGCCGGAAGTGACGCAGCGGAAGACGACTCCGACTTGATCAGAAGTCTCCGGGGCGGGTTTCTCCCCGATGGTGTTGACATTAACGACATTCGGCTCCTGCAGGAGATCAGGAAACGGTCCAGCCAGCTTACCCTGGACGAGATGACAAACTCCCCGACCTCTGCGCCCAACAACGACTTCTTCGTCACCTACAGGGAGGAGACAGACGACGGGAATAATGGCCGCGAGGAGGAGGAGGAGGGAGAAGAGGAGGAGGAGGGAGCTTACGGTGGGGGCGTTGAGAACTTCACTTTGCCAGGGCTCGCGGAATTTCAGCGGCGTCTGGGACTACAAATGTCAGCTGCTGCTGCTACAGCTGAGGAGGAAGAGGATGAGCAGGAGGAGGAATAAGAAAAGGAATAGTAAAAAGAGGAGGATAGTAATAAGTAATTGGCTGATAACAAGTTGGGCAAGACTTGATCGAAAGTAAGAGGAGGGCAACAAGCAGTTGGCTGAAACAAGTAGGGAAAGATTTGATCGAAAGTTACAACAACGTTGTTGTTTTTTAAATTTCAATTTTAAAAAAAAAAATTAATTTTTTTTTTTTTTTTTTGGGGGGGGTGGTTATTATTAATTTATGTTTGCATGAGTGAGAGGGAACCTAAAGATACTGATCTGCATGAAATCTTTCTTCCAACCAAGCAATGTATAATGTTAACATCTTCATAAATCATTCATTATCTAGAGCTATTTATTTACTAGCGTACGTTTCCTCAATTTTCATTTTAAGTCTATATTTTTTTTGTATTTACCATTCCAATTTTGTCCTTTCCTGTGAGTGCTGTTAGAGGAGTGGAAGTAAATTGTGTCACGACGCGTTGGAATCAGGCGCTCGTCAATTTTTGGCCAAGTGGAATTATTGGTTTCATCTCATAGCTTGTTCATTTGACTCCCACACATCTCGCTTATACAAAAGTGGAGATATTTGTTACTGAAAGAGGTGGGGCTTGATTGGTTTCAGAGATAAAACTAGCGAAAAAATGGCAACTAAAGTTTGTTGATTTCCAAAGCTTGAGAATCCTTGGAAACTTAAACTTTACATTTGCTGCGCCTTTAATCAACTTTATCCAGTAAAACCCTCACAGAAATATTTTTTAAAGGACTTAAAAGGCATTGAGCCAAAAAACAAAAATTTGAAAACAAATTGTCAAACTGGACTAAAAATGCCTATTTCTTCGTTTGCATTATTTTGACGAGCGCCTGATTTCACCCCGATGCCTCACAGTATTGATTCAATACTGGCATGGTATTGACAGAACAGCAGGTCCTTCTTACTCGTCTATAACCGCAACAAAATCTGTCTCATGCATAATTGGTCACTATTAAGAACAAGCGGGCTAACCCATATTTCGGGGATTTCCAGAAACAATTATTTTGACCTACACCAAAAGTGGGCATTGCCCTACCCATAGGAGAAGTTTGATTTCATTGGTGTGTATATTTGTTTGGTTTTAGTAGAGAAAACTCTCCTTGTCTTTTAAAGAAACTGAACAAGGGGCAAAAACTTTACCTTCGATTTTCTCAAAACAGCATTTTTCGGGACAGCCCCCTTGTGCTTAAAAGCGACTAAGTTTATGGTCTCACACAAATTTAATTAATAAAGTGTTTCGAGCCCTCTTCAAAGATATGTATGCTTGCCAAATTGACATGTTAGTTCCTTGAAAAGCGTTCTGTGATAAAATAAGAACCAAATAAGTATTCTGTGATATTCTAATTAATCTATTGGTTATTGTTGGTTCATTCTCTACCGGGGTCGATGATGCTTTACTAATACTAATTTTTTGTTTTTGTTTTGTAAAGGAAGCTTAATAGTGCAAATTATTTTATGTCCATCTGTATATTATGTATGCGTGTACGTGTGTGTGTGTGTGTGTGTGTGTGTGTGTGTGTGTGTGTGTGTGTGTGTGTGTGTGTGTGTGTGTGTGTGTGTGTGTGCGTGCGTATGTGTGTGCGCGTACGTTGACAATTTCTGATATGAAAAGAAGCCAAATTGAAAGAAGGAGAGAGATTGGGCGTTGAAGGTAAAGAGAGAGAGAAAGAGAGAGAGAGAGAGAGAGAGAGAGAGAGAGAGAGAGAGAGAGAGAGAGAGAGAGAGAGAGAAAGAGTGAGAAAGAGAGGCTGACCTAATGGAGAAGTTTGTGAAAAAGACGAGACATAAAAAAAGACAACGCGTTTTGTTATTTTCTCTATTTCTTTCTCTCTCTACCCTCTTACCCCCCCCCCCCTCCTCTTCCTCTTCCTCTCTCTCGAACTAGACTACAAACTACCATTATCCTATCTTTGACAACAGAGGGAACTATCTCTCAGCTGATGCAACACACCCGTAGCTCATATATCATGTCTGGGAAGGCAGAAGATATTCGGAGACATTTCGGCGAGCACCCGGGAACTATTCTGAGATGTACTCCTGCTCACATATGCACTGCTTTGGGGGGTCAGACTGCGTATTATTTGCTGCAGATCACACATATAGCCACTAAAGCTGTCGCAAATCAATTATTTTCAAGAAAATGTCAAACTTAAAAGCAAAATATCAAATTATGGGTTAAAACAGGGGGGCAAGTCTCCCCCCTCCCTCCCACACACACACCCCTGTAACCCCTTAGATGTTTTTACTGGGTCAAGCGTCACGAAGCCTTTGGATTGGTCTCTCCATCGGAGACGTCTCCGAATAGGATCCTACCTGTCTAGAATGGCTTGTATCGTAGTTGTGCTCAACGAATTGGACGAGAATTTCATTCATTTCCCCCAAAGAGTCTACATAACAAGAGGGGCCACTTCTCTCTTTGAGCCAATTAAAAAAGTGTCCTCAAAATTCGGTGGCGCCCTCTTTGCAAAAGCGCACATTTTGCGAACAGAGTTATCCTACTTGAGTTTAAAACATTAAAGTGAAACTAGCAAGTTTTTGAATGAATTTCGGAAGAACGCTTTTTAAAAATGATTACGCTGACAAAAACCTCTTCCGGAGGAAAGGGTGATGGTTTTCTTCGTTTGATTTGACTTAAGAATGAAAGACTAGAGGTCATTAAAATAAAAAACAACTAAAACTCCACACTGAACGAACCCGAACTGCTGATGAACCGCAGTCGATCTGCGCACGCAAGGAGGTGCTATTCCTATTCTTCTTCTGGAAAAACGAAAGAGAGCTTCAAAACAGACTGCAGCGCCATCTGAAGCAAAGAGCGAACTTCCTGCGGACACTTTTTTGCCTGAGTGGCCCATCGTGTTATGTACTATCTTTGGTTCCCCCTCCGCCAGTATACGCTATGAGCACCTAGATACATGTGTAAAATACTACATTACTTCTGTTACTGTTGTTCTTTTCCAAGCAGTATTACAGTACCGGACCTACACCACCTGCTGGGCTATTGTAGGCTATGGTGTGGGTTTGATAATCTTTTGTACTATTGTAAGTATTGTTGTAAGGTTGTTTAGGAATATTTTATGACTTCCTTTTCTTTTGGCTCAATTCTCTCGCGAATAAACGTTAAATCAAATCTAATGTCCCACTTCTTAATGACTTTGCCACCACAAGGCTCATACAGTCAAAACTCTTGCCATCAAAGGCAAAGGCATTTAGGGGAAATCCAAAGAAACTGGGAGGTAAAAATCGTCGTCCGACGAGATGAGGCGGCAAAGTGTTTTAATAATGATAATGAAATTCTGAAATTATGCAAACTGAGCCAAAAAATGTGAAATTATGCGATTTTGTTAATTTCAACAAAGAATGATATTTAAAATAATCAGAAATTATGAAAAAAAAAAAATGTTAAACTATGCGGGATGCATAAAACCATGGGGACAGCCATTTACCACAGGCCTTTACAACTCAAATGCTGGTTAAAACTTCTGTACTATACACATAGAGACCAAAACGTGCGCATTACCTTTTCTTCTTTTATCTTCAAGTACCGTACACTGCTGGGAAATACGACATGGAACTTTTTCAAAAGTTGTTTTATGATCATACATTTAACATTCTAATTGTGATAATGCACGAGGCAGGGGTAGGCCACGGGAAACATGGAGCAGATGCGTGGAAAGGGACATGAGAGAAATGAAGCTCACTTGGAACGAGCTTGGAAGGATGGTTCAGGACAGAGATAAATGGAAGGAGCTTGTATGTGGCCTATACCCTGCCAGGGGTGAAAGGCATTGATGATGATGATGATGATGTGATAATGTCTAACATAGAGAAGAGACGACGTGTAGTTTTAGTCATAATCATGTATTTTTTCACATCATAAAACTGAAGTCTGGAAGTGCAGAGCCAGATTTTGAGTCGGACGATGCGCTATAGAAAGACAGTCCTTACCATGTTCATTATGATTATACTTAGGCCTACTACATATTATTGTATGTATTGTTAGTAATTGTTGATATTATTACTTCTTTGATTTTTTACAATAATAATGATACTAATAGTAATTATAGTGGCATTGTTATTATTGTTGTTGTTGTTGTTATTATTATTATTATTATTATTATTATTATATTATTATTATTATTTATTATTATTATTATTATTATTACTATCATCATCATCATTATTATTATTATTATTACTATCATCATCATCATTATTATTATTTTAAACATTATTATCATTACTGTAGTATGAATTTGTTGTTATGTTACTATTATTATCATTTAAATTATTACTTTTGTATGACACGTACAGGTGGACAATTTCTCTTTGATTAAAAAAAATATACGCATTTATATTGGCCATCAGAGAAAGAGTAAATACACAAGAAAATATACGCTTTGTTCTGCTCTTGTGTGTGTGTAAGTGGGGTGTGTGTGTGTGTGTGTGTGTGTGTGTGTGTGTGTGTGTGTGTGTGTGTGCGCGCGCGCGCGAGTGTGAAATCTTTCAGGTGGGTCTCAGCCGTCCTCTCATCCTCCTCCGCGGGAGATTTTGATCGTAGCATTTGTCTTTTCATATATGTAGTGGGCTGGTACTTTACTTTATACACAACTGGGAATGAAACAGAAATTTTCTCAAAGCCTACAGGTATATATGGAGTTATTTGGTATCACCTTAAAGCCTGTCCATTTGCCATGCTTTTGATGGAAAAAAAATCCATTTATCTCAGATACAAGTCAAGATAACGGCGATTGAAGGAGGTGGGGGTCTCCTGGTTTCAAAGATAAGATTAACGGGGAAATGGCCGCCAAAGTTGAGTTATTTCCTTAATTTGAGAGTCCGTGGAAACTGAAAATTTACATATGTTATGCCTTTAACCAACGTGTATCCAGGCAGAAATATATTTTTTAAAGGGCATGAAAAGCGTTGAGCCAAAAAACAAATTCGATAAAAATTCCCAAAAATGCT